TTATCTGGGTATCCCTTAATTCAGTTGAGTAACACCTAAAATTAACCATCACATTGGGACATACATTAAGTTATGTAAGAAACTGCCAAATTGTCTTCCAAAGTGGCTGCACCATTTTGCACTCCTGCCCACAATGAAGGAAAGTTCCTTTGTTCTGCAACCTCAACAGCAATTGATACTGTCAATTTTTAGATTTTAGCCATTTTAATAGTAGTTTAGTGGTATCTATTGTTTAATTTTCATTTCTCTGATGACGAATGATGTTGAACATCTTTTCATATGCTTATTCACCATCTGTATAACTTCTTTGGTGATGTGAGATATCAGTTCAAATATTTTGCCTATTTATTAATTGGATTATTTGTTATCTCATTGTTGAGTTTAAAGGGTTTTTTTTTTTTTGTATATTTTAGATATAAGTTCCTTATCATGTGTGTGATTTGAAAATATTTCATCCCAGGCTGTGACTTGTTTTTTTATTCTCTAACAGTGTCTATCACAGACCCAAAGTTCTTAATTTTAATAAAATACAGCATGTCAATTTTTTCTTTCATGGAGCATGCTTTTGATACTGTATCTAAAAACTCATTACCAAACCAAGTCATATAGATTTTAATCACGATTTTTTTCTAGAAGCTTTATAGTTATACCCACTTTTTACAAGTCTTTCAAATTGGATCAGAACGTAAGCTCCACTGATGTATTGTCTATGGAATCCTAAATGATTTCTCATTGAGTTCTTTCAAGCTGTCTAGGAAGAAATCATTTCTGGGCCAGTCTGGAGCATTATAAGAAAAGGAACACTCATTAACACTTTTATTGCAGTTTCATGATTGTTTACCTTTGAAATGCAAGAGAATCTGTTTGAAATAATAAGAGAATTTAATAAGATTGCTAGATATAAGATCAAAATGAAAAATCAACAGTATTCTTATATTCCAGGATTAATTAAAAATATAAAAAAGATCCTATGATCAGTAGCCTAACTGACCACCTAAGGAAACAAAAAGAAGAGCAAACCATACCCAAAGCAAGCCGAAGGAAGGAAATAATAAATATTAGAGTGGAGATAAGTGAAACAGAAAATAGAAAAGTAATAGAGAAAATTAATAAAACCAAAATTTGTTTCTTCAAAAATATCAACAAATCTAGTAAAACTTTAGCTACACTGACCAAGAAGAGACTCAGTTTACTAAAATCAGGAATGAAAGTGGAGGAAATTTTAATAAATAACTTAAGGGGAAAAAATCAAGAAAATTTCATTTACAATAAGATCAAAAAGAGTAAAATAGGAATAAATTTAATCAAGGAAGTGTATGACTTGTACAGCAAGAACTACTAAACATTGTTGAAAGGATTTAAAGAAGACCTAAATAAATGAAAAGATATCATGTGTTTATGGACTGGAAGACCTAATATTAGGATGGAAATACCCCCGATACTGACCTACATAGTCAATGCAATCTCTATCAAAATTCCATTGCCTTTTTTGCAGACATGGAAAACCTGGCCCTAAAATTTATATGCAATTTCAAAGAACATTGAATAGCCAAAGCAATCTTGAAAAAGAATGAAGTAGGAGGATGTGCGTTTCCTGCTTTTGAAACTTTGTATAAAGATACAGTAATCAAAACAGTATGGTACTGACATAATGATAAACATATAGATCAATGGAACAGAACTGAGAGTACAAAACATCTTTCTTTATCTATAGTCAATTGATTTTCAACCAGGATGCCAAAACTAGTCAGTGAGGGAAGAACAGTCTTTTCTCTTTTTTTTTTCCTTTTTGTCTTTTTTACTGACTGGTAATGGGATCGCAACCCTCAGTGTCGCGCCCATACCGGGGACCGGCAACGGGATCGCAACCCTCGGTGCTGCGCCCGCACCACGCTCAGCCAGTGAGCGGGAACCGGTCTCCACATGGGATCCGAACCCTCAGCCGGAGCGCCACTGCGCTCCCAGGCGGCTCACTCTCCCGTGTGCCACCGGGCCAGCCCGAGAACAGTCTTTTCAAGAAATGGTGCTGGGGGCCAACCCCATGGCGCACTCGGGAGAGTGTGGCGCTGGGAGCGCAGTGACATTCCTGCCGCGGGTTCGGATCCTATATAGGGATGGCCGGTGCGCTCACTGGCTGAGCGTGGTGTGGGTGACACCACACCAAGGGTTGCAATCCCTTTACTGGTCACGAAAAAGACAAAACAAAAAAGAAATGGTGCTGGGACAACTGGATATCCACATGCAAAAGAATGATGTTTCACCCTTATATCACACCATACACAAAAATTAAATCAAAACTGATCAGAGACCTAAATGTAAAAACTAAAATTTGAAAACTGTTAGATGGAAACAGGTGTAAATCTTCTTGGCTCTGGATTAGGCGATGGCTTCTTAAATATGACATCAAAACCACAAGCAACAAAAGAAAAAAATGATAAATTGGACTTCATCAAAATTAAAAACTTCTGGCACCAAAAAACACTGGCAAGAAAGTAAAAGACAACCCACAGAATGAGAGAAGATATGTGGAAATCATTTATCTGATAAGTATCTAATATCCAGAATATATTAAAAGTTCTTATTATGCAACAATAAAAATAGAAATAGCCCAATTTGAAAATGGGCAAGGGATTTGAACAGACATTTCTCCAAAGAAGATTACAAATGGTCAATAAACACACGGAAAGATGCTCAACATCATTAATCATTAGGAAAGTGTAAGTCAAAACCACAAGGAGAAACCACCTCATGCCCACTAGGATGGCTGAAATTTAAAAAAACAAAAAACGAGAAAAAAAAAAACATATAATAACAACTGTTGGCAAGGATGTGGCTAAATTGGAAACCTCACACACTGATGGTAATGTAAAAATAGTGCAGCTGCTGTGGGAATCAGTTTGGCAGTTCCACAAGAAGTTAAATATAAAGTTACCACGTGCTGCAACAATTTCACACCTAGGTATTTACCCGAGAACTGAAAACATATGTTCACACCAAAACTGGTACACAAATGTTTATAGCAGCAGTATTCATTATAGCCAAAAATAGAAACAACCCAAATGTCCAGCAACTGAAGAATGGATAAACAAAATGTGGTATATCCTAATGATGGAATAATATTCAACAATAAAAAGTAATGAAGTACTGATACATGGTACAACATGAACGAACCCCAAAAACATTATGCTAAGTGAAAGAAGCCAGACACAAAAGACCACATATTGTATGGTTCCACTTACATGAAAAGCCCAGAGTAGGAAAATCTATAGAGACAGAAAGTAGATGAGTGGTTGCTTATATTTGGGGAACAATAAGAGGTTGGGGAGGTTGGGGATAATGGCTAAGGGGTGTGGGTTTGTTGCTATTTTGGTTTTTTTTTTAATTGATAAAAGAGTTCTAATGTTGGTTGTGTTGATGGACACACAACTTTGTAAATATATTAAAAGCCACTTAATTGTATACTTTAAGTGGATGAATTATATGGTGTATAAATTATATTTCAATAAACTGTTTCCAAAGGGGAAGTATACGGAGGAATTCTGAACGATGGAGTGCGCTTTTCTCCCTGGTCGCCTTGGCTGGGCTCTGGAAACAGTAGATAATGGATTCTTATGAAACACTTGCATAGCAGGGAGGAAAATTATTATTTTCCTGGTTGTTGCCAAAGTGTCCCTTGGGGGACCAAATGTCTTTCCTTGGAAATGAGCCTTCCTACCTTACTTGAGGATAACTTGGGATTCAGAAAAAGAAAAGAAAACCAGGTAACAGCTCTTAGTTTAGACTTTGTGGGCTAGGAAGAACCGAGGAGAGAGAGGGAGTTCTACAAAAAAGTAGGAGGATAGAACACACTCCAACAGAGATGACTCAAGAAGACTCAAGAAGAGAAGCGTGATACTCAGATTTAAATTATCTGCTGAGTCACACTGTGATGGAAACCTCCCTTGGTCCAACCAGCAGTAAAACTCTACTGCCTTTTCTGTGTGGTATTGAGGGTTATGAGTTTAAAAAGTAGGGATTTGGTCCCACCTGTGATTCGCTGCTGTGCTGGAGACAATAAAACAACTGCAGTGCACCAAGTAGAGAATGAGGACTGAGCAGAAATCAGAGCTACCAGTGGTCAAGGAAACATAAACCCTGAATTCACAGTAATCTTCCCAAAGTATGTGGCCGGCTGTTTGAATAAATATAAATCTCCTCTAGCTATTAAGGAACATTGAGTTCTATTTGCTTGGAAGGCCAAAGTTTCTGGCTATGACATATGCTGCAAGGCTGAGGGTCATTCATAGGTTACAAGACTTTAACGTGGGAGAGGGAGAGGGGCAGAGAATGTGGAATAACAGAAAAGAGATAAGTGGAGGCACCAAGAGAGGAAAGAGCATTGTCTTCCGCAACAGGAATGCCAGCAGTAGGAATTGATACTTATTGAGTAGGGCAGCTAAGAGCAAAGCTATGGAGGCTTCTGCTGGCTCACTCTTGAACCAAGACCATGAAAATTGTGATGCTGACACCAAAGTATTCTTGTGACAAGGCACAATCAGGAATTCTTTGAGGAAATGCTTTAGACAGCATGGACCACCAAAGCCCTTCGAGATCCTTCAACAGCTTCTAATCTGTCATGGATATGAATCTACACTCAATGGAAGTTGGAAGAAGATCCAATCATAGGATTTCCTTCAGGCAAGCCAGGTGTCTTCATAACTCTGCAAAGAAGAGAATCAAGCAGAAGCTGAGATTTTTCCTAAGTGGGAAGAGACCTAAATGGATATTCACAGGATACAACGGACTAGCACTCTCATCCTGGCTCACTGGAAGGAATCACCAAATTGATGGGGATGGGTGTTGGGAGATGCACTGGGAACACATCTGCCTAGAACCTGGTTATCTACTCTGTAACATGTGGAAGTTGTACTTCTCAGATGAATGAGGGACCTGCCCTAGGAGGAGGTCATCAGGACAGAGACATCAGTGGCAGAATGAGAGAGGGTCATTAATGTCCTCACCTGCTTCTCGAAACTGCTCTTTTGTTTCCACCACTGAGAAGTTATCAGTCGGTTCTTTGTGTCTTCTGGTGCTCTCTGAAGTTGGGAAGTAGTTAGAAGGGGAAGATTTGTGCTTCTGGGTTCTCCGCCATCTCCCAAAACCCAGAAGCACAAGCTCTAAAAGAGTAAACAGGAGACAAAACCCACTGACCCCAAACATGGTCTTCAGGAAGATGTTCTTCTCAGAGGGGCGGGACAGATTACAGGTTATACTACCAAGGCAAGGCTCTCGACGACAGGCAAAGGAGCCAGGCATCTGGAACCCATACAGATGGTACTGCCCTCCCAGGGCTGCCCCCTCGAGGACCAGTCGGGTCCCCAGCTGTGTTGCATAAGCCCAGAGCAGCCTGGGACTTCCAGCCCCTGAAGCATCTCTCCTGCTGTCCCCTTCATAGAATGGGGTCTCCTCCTCCTTCTTCACCTCTCCCGATTCTTCCCAACGCCAGATCACATGATACAAGATGAAACCCACATAGAGCACACTGGGTACGGCCACCAATATGACCTGGAAGGCCCAGAAGCGCAGTGGGGAGAGGGGGTGGAAGGCGTCGTAGCAGGCGGCCTTGCAGCCGGGCTGCTGGGTGTGACACACAAATTCACTCTGCTCATCGCTGTAGATCCCAGGCCCACTTGCAGCCAGCAGCAGGAGGCGGAATCCCAGGAGGACAGGAAGCAGGAGGCGGCCCACAGGGGTGGAGTGCCTGCTCTCCTCAGCCAACAGCTGCCTCAGGAACCTGCCGCACATCCTATTATAGAGCACGGGACAGTCATCAGTATGGGTGTGTTGCTCATTGTCCTTTAGAGGGAGCTCCAGGCCACCTCTCGCTCCTAATCTAAAGATCAGTAAGGCAATCCTATTTGCTCATCTCTGAGGATCTGCTGATCAAACACCAAGACTCTGATTGCACCTATTTACTAGTTAATGGAATAATCTATGTAAAATAATAGTAGCCAGTGTGTGGAGGTTTGGTGATCTCTTTTCTGCCTCCCCCTTCTGACTGCTGGCGTGGAGAGGAACTCTCAATGTCAGGGAGGACCAGGGTGCGTCTTTTTCTTTCACTCCCTCCCTGTTTCCCTTTCTCACAGAGACCAAGACGGGTTTTTGATAACTCCCCTTTTGAAAACTCTTGCTTCCCCGGGTGATGCTGCCAGGTCTGTTGCTACCCATATGCCAGCATCGCCTTAACCACATCAGTGCTGGCGCTGGGAGGGAACGTGCTTTCTCCTGCTGTCTGCTTCTCTCTGCTTCTCTCTGCCTCCATGCCGTCAGGCACTCACACGTGTGTTGGGATGGCCTCTGCTCCCAACACGGTGATAAGATTGAGATGTGGTTAGTTTAGGGAGCTGGACAGGGATGGGATGAAATGGACAGAGTGAGTGTCAAGGTTTCTGCTAGTCTGATCTTACCAGCTTAGGAAAAAGGGAACGTTTTTAGGGTAACCCAGCAGAATTTACCAGAGTTAAATGCCATAGGGTTTGGGGTCAAAGTCAGGGCTGATGAGATAGACATTCAAGTTTTGACTTCCCTTTGCCATTGTTTTTTGGGCATTTATCTCCCTCATGGTGAGAGGTGATCATGGTCAGGGCAGATTTCAGAAATTCCTCAGTTCACTGGCTGAAATACCATCTCCAAGTCCACGTTTACAATGTTTATCTTTGTCCAGATCAGCAGCCTTCCTCGATGACCAGCAGCCATTTCAAACTGTCCCCATTTAGCCCAAACCCTTACACACCTGGTTCCCTTCTCTCTCAGAAGACCACGTGCTATGGTCTAAATGTTTGTGTCCTCCCAAAGTTCATATTTTAGAACCTCATACCCAATGTGATAGTATTAAGAGGTGAGGCCTTTAGGATGGAATTAGTACCCTTATAAGACAGGGCTGAAGGAATCCTTCCGCCCCTTCCATCACGGGAGGACATACAGATGTCGCCGTCTGTGAGGAACAGGTTCTTACCACACACCAACCTGCCAGCACCTTGATATTGGACTCCCCCCACCCCCACTCCAGAACTGTCAGCAATAAATTTCTGTTGTTTATAAATCACCAGTCTAAGGTATTTTGTTATAGAAGCCTGAACAGACTAAGATACGATGCAAACCTTCTATTCCACAGAGAAAATAAAGACTCTTTGATGTGAAACCCTGAAGCTACTACTTTCTGCGATCTTCATATTTAATAACATCTCATAGAAGGTGATATGTTTGTCCAAGACTAAGCTTGTCCAAGGCTACTGTCCCTTCTAAATCTGTGTCCTTGGGTCTCTCCTTTTCTGCTTCTTTAAGGATTTGATCCTCCAAATTATCTTCTCTGTAACTCAGACCCCCCCCCCTTGTTTCCTCTCTGACTATGCATATGCTTAGGTATCTCCCTTTAATGTCAAGAACAATAACCTGGGTTTCTTAGCGAGGGAGCAGATGAGACATGCCCAATGTGTCTCATATCAGCTTCCCAATTATAATACCAGGAACATGCACAAAACGATTTTAAGTGGGCAGTAGTGTTATAAACTATACATAAGAAGCCACATGCCAAAGCTTAGGCACTGTGGTCACTTTTGTGCTGTCAGGATGGATTGAGATGCTTCCAAGGGTCTATTCTAAGGGTATCAATTGACCAGAGGAATATGTTGCCTCACCATCTGTGAGAAACCATATTTTGAGCCACCAGGAGTCAGAATGTGAACCTCAGCCTGCCCCTCAGTCCCTGTCTTTGTACCTCCATCACAGACTGTGGAGACTCAAAGGTATATCAGGTCCCTAAATTTTTTTTCTATAAAAATGGATTAAGATTTTTAGAAGAAATTGATTTTCAGACTCTAGAAAGATGCAAAATCGATCTTGCGATTAAAGATGGCAGATCAAGGATAAATAGTTATCTCTTGTCATTCCCAAAACTCCTCAAAAGTAAGAGTAAATGAAATTTTTAAATGTATAAACCCACTACAAAATAGAGTAGGAGAAAAATCATCAATAGCACAGTTAAAATCCACCTTGAAGGCAAGAGGACAGATTCTGTGGAAAATCAAATTGGGTTACTGGAAAACATTCTTGGGAAACTCTTTTAGAATTTGGAGGAAGAAAATGAATAATTGAAAATAATAAAAGGTAAATAGATATGAGAACAAAGTCTGTTTGCTAATTTGAAAATCAAGACAGTAATAATATAAAATCACTAGCTTATTTATCAGGAGAAAAAACACTCAGTGAAGTGACTGAGAAAAAAGAAGTTTCTCAACAAATATTTGACTAAGTTTTATTAGAGAAGATATGGAGCTCCCTAGAAGACCATAAGGAAGTTCCAGTTCCAATGTTCATACTGGGTTTCTCAACCTTGGTACTCTTGACATCTGGAGCCCGATAATTCTTTGTTGAGGGTGGTGGGTGCTGTCTGTGCATTGTAAGAAGTTTAGCAGCATCCCTGGTCTCTACCCACAAAATGTAAGCAGCACACCTCTCTCCTCCTACCCACATTGTGACAACCAAAAATGTCTCCAGACATTGCTAAAGTCCCCTGGAAGGCAAATCCACCCCTGGTCAAGAAGCACTGCTTTAGGGTAGCACTGCTCCATCATCTCTCCATTCTTGGCCTCAGTTACCAGCTCTGTAACTCAAGATGTCTGTACCGGAGCATCTCAAGAACTTTTCTAGCCTTCCTTCCAGTGGGGCCATGAGAATCAGCCCATCTTCCAGGTTGGACACACATCCTCCCTCAACCAGCCCCATCTTTGAAAGTGCCTGCAGCCTTGCCCCACCTCGTAAGTCTACAGGGTCCCTGTAGGGGAGGCAGCCCCTGGGCTCTGAGGGCTTCTGCCCTGGCTCCCTTGCAGAGTTATCAGGCCAACTGCTAATTTGGTAAATTCTCATGTCTTCCTCTGACCCTCATAGTATTTCAAAGTTCAGGCCCAGCAGCTTCTAAATACATTTCCAGCACATTCCCAGCCAACCAGAAATTTACCACAGGGCAGGCCTGGCATATTCTACGTGTCATGAATTTGAATAGTTTCCAAAGGCCCTATCTCTGGTCCTTCTCTTTTTGTCTCCACCCATGCCCACCCCAGGCTTATGACCAGACACCCAAATGTCCTCTCAGAGGTTCTCAGAACTGAGCTGAGGTCTCCAGAGTTCACCACAAGAGCTTCGGGGTTTAGGAAGGAGAGAAGGGCAAAAGCAGGGGAGAGGACTTGCCTGAGAACCCCTTGGTTTTGGGCCCCCATTTCTAATCCTAAGTACCCTTTCTCGTCCTTCACTCCGCGACTGCTATCACCAAAACAACACTTATTCCTCACACATTCAAGCCTCCTGGTGGGTTCAGACAAAATCATGCTCCCTCTCCCTTTTTGTGTGAAAACCAAAGAGAGTTTCCTATACTACGGCCCTCCCCACTTTCTCATCTCCTGCTTTTCTGGGGCCCCCGTGGCCTCCCCCATCTGGCCCCGCTGTCCCCAGCCCACCTGCCTCATTCTCTGACACCCACATCCTCTTCTCACAAACATGTCTGCAGCTTTGCTCCACAGGACCCAGGATGCCAAGGCCAAGAAGGAAGAGGAGATGCTACTAAAGCCCCCGATCCAGCAGTGCTGGCAAAGCTCAGCTTAAGGGACACCACTGTTTCTAAAAGTGGAAAAACAGTTTGCAAGATGTGATGGGCAATTAGCAGGGTCTGAGCCCTGTCAAGGTTTTAGTCACTCATGCAACACCTATGAGCTCAAGAGTTGGGAGACAAGGGAAAGCCAGAGTTTGAAGGGATTTTTAATTATCTCAACAGATTTTTGAAAATTCCATCATGATTTTGATAAGATAGTGTCTAAGCATCTCTTGCTTTTTTGGAGTAAAATTTCAGAATTTGCTTGGTGGTAGAATCCATCTCTGAGAGTTACTGTGTGAGGGAGGGAACGTCCGATGGGGAAGGCAGGACCTTGAGTGCAGACCCAGGCTCATGGCTCCCATCTCACCCCACCTGGCCTGGAAAACATTCTAGATTCTTCTTTTATTCAAAATGTGGCACAGAGCAGTAATACTGGCATCACCAGGAATGCAGAATCTCAGGCTGCATCACAGACTTCCAAATCCTATCTGAATTTTAATAATATCCCCCAGGTGATTCATGTGTGCATCAGATCTGGAAAAATGCCCTCTAGAGCCCAGGGCAGCCCCACCCCACCCCCATTGCCAAACGCTGAGCCCGCCCAGCCGCTCTCTGCCCATACACTCACCTGGCAGCTTGAGCAGAAGCAGCTCAAGGAAAGAGGCAGAGAAGAGTCCTCAGGCTGGAGCCCTCAGGGTTCCAGCTCTTCTCTGGCCCTGCCTCCTGCCACCACCCACTTCTTCCTCCTCCCCTTTTCATTCCTGGCAGCCTTGGCAAAGGGTAAAGGAATTGCAGCTGGAGGAGCAGGCAGCCCTGCTGTTGAAGAATGAGCTCTGCAGAATAACTCTCTGTCATTGAGGGCAAGGGTTTTCTAAGTGAACTGAAACACGGATTTTCAGATCATCTGAAAGGGGAGAATGGCTTCAGTGTGTTTCCAGTGGGGGGGGGCTTACAGGCAACAACAGATAGAATTTCCATGCATTTGAATCTCTACTGAACCCCCCACTCTCCTGCCCAAAATACCCAAAGCACAAGAAGAGTGTGTGTGTGCACATGTGTGTATATGTATGCATGTGTGTATTTGTGTGTCTCTGTGTGTGTTTGTGTGTGTTTGCTTTGTTTCCTCAGGCAGTCCTCATCCCAGAATTCATGGTGACTT